GCGACGTTTATTAACTTTGTTTCATACGTTGAATGCCAAACTAATCGCAAGCTTAAAACCATTCGCACGGACGGCGGTGGCGAATTCCTCAACAGACAATTCCACAAATTTACTCAAGCTGCCGGAATTCACCATCAAACCTCGTGTCCTTACACCCCGGAGCAAAACGGTATCGCGGAAAGAAAGCATCGGCACCTCATTGCAACTGCCCCCACGCTTCTTCATCAGGCGTCTCTTCCGCTCAATTACTGACTTGAAGCCGTCACAACCTCAGTCTATCTCGTAAATCGTCTGCCTTCTTCTACGACGGACCAGTTATCTCCTCTGCAAAGAATGTTTAACATTAAACCTTCATATAATCACCTTCGCACGTTCGGTTGCGAATGCTATCCGCTTCTTCCTCCGCCGCAGCGAACTAAGCTCACCCCCACGTCTCCGCCTTGTGTCTTTATTGGTTACTCTGAATCCATTAAAGGATACAAATGTCTCAATGTGTCTACCAACAAAATTATTATATCAAGACATGTAACGTTTAACGAAAATTGTTTTCCTTTCTCTCACAGGTCCTTCTCTGATTTAGCAACTCCTATTACTCTTCCACCATCTCTTCTCATTCCCTCGACGGTTTTGTCCACTCATTGCACTGCACAGATCCGATCCAACGGTATCAACGAACAACGAACCTCTAACAACGCTACTGTGGATATCCAACCCGACCATATATCTGCAGCTTCAACCAGCCCACAGTCTCTTCCCATACAGAAACAGCATCCCATGATTACTCGAAGACAAACGGGATCGCTAAAACCTGTTACCAAACTTAACCTTCTACATCAAGAGTCATCGATCAATGATTCCCCTTCCTATACTACAGCAATTAAACACCGCGAATGGAGACAAGCCATGGCTGATGAGTTCTATGCACTACAACAACAAGGTACATGGGATATTGTACCTCCACCGCCAAACGGATCCATTCTTGGCTCCAAGTGGACTTACCGTATCAAATACAATTCTGACGGATCGATTGCCTGATATAAAGCCCGGCTTGTGGCACTTGGAAACCAACAGGAGTTCGGGCTTGATTTCCACGAAACTTTCAGTCCCGTTGCTAAGCTTCCCACGATACGCATATTGTTTACCATTGCTCTATATCACAAATGGGATATCCAACAATTAGATGTAGCAAACGCGTTCTTACACGGTAATATCAACAAGACCATCTACATGTTACAACCAAAAGGTTTCGAAGATGCTCGCAACCCCACGCACGTCTTTCGCCTACGAAAGGCTATCTATGGGCTTCGACAAGCACCCCGGCAATGGTACACAACTTTTACAACACATCTGCTGCAACTCGGCTTTTCTCACAGCCAGGCCGATCCTTCCTTACTAATTTTTGATCGAGGCAATACAAAAATATACCTTCTTGTCTATGTTGATGATATACTCATCGCAGGCAATAATAACACAGCTACTAATGCACTAATAGCTCAGCTCAGCTCCTGGTTCACCATGAAAAATCTGGGTAAGGCAAGCCACTTCCTCGGCATCAAGATAGAATCCTCTCCAGATAAGTTTTTTCTCTCTCAATCTCATTACACCAACTCTATTATACAAATGGCCGAGATGCAACGCTGCAACTCGGTCTCTAATCCCTCTACAACAAAACTCGCAGAGTCGGCGTTTACCGATCCTCCCTGCTTCACTTCAACAGAATTTCGCACTATCATTGGATCTCTCCAGTACTTAACTTTAACCAGACCCGACATCGCATATGCTGTTAATGCTCTGTCCCAGCATATGCATAATCCGGAAAAATGTCATACTGCTATGCTCAAGAAACTCATCAGATATCTTAAAGGCTCTATCGACTTTGGACTTCCGATCACTCGCTCAGATTTGGCTCTCCGCACATTCTCAGATGCCGACTGGGCCTCTGATCCGGTTACCCGGAAATCGACATCTGGTTTTTGCACTTTCCTGGGCAACACATTAATCTCTTGGACCGTGAAGAAGCAACACAGTCTCTCGGTCATCAACGGAGTCGGAGTTTCGATCCTTGGCCTCGGCAACAGCTGATACAATCTGGATTAAAAAGCTTCTTGCTGACTTCGGTATTACTCATTCTAAACCAATCGACATGTTCTGTGATAATACATCTGCAATTGCGTTGGCAAATAATCCTGTCTTCCACGCTCGAACTAAACATATCGAAATCGATCAACGATTCATCAGGGATCATATACAACGCCAAACAATTCGACTGCTACCTATAAGCACTATAGATCAGATCGCAGATATATTTACGAAACCGCTCACTACAAATCGGTACAAATTACTTAGATCCAAACTAACCATTGGTCCCAATGCTTAGTTTGAGGGGGTATATTAAGACACTATGTATTAAAACATTATTTACCCGTTGGTGTACTGTACCAATAAGACTACTCCACGTGTAACTCTATTGTTTCTTTTCCCTATAAAGCTATCTGCCATGTACTTATCTAAAACAAGAATAATAATATAATATTGTTACTTTTACTGTTCATTGTCTTCAACCTCTGGTTCTTGCCAAGACATATGAGGAGTTAACGTTTCTACATGGTATCAAGAGTAGCGTTCAGATCCTGACGCATTCGCTATGGCGACCTCAGCTTCCGCATCATCTTCCGCCCACGCCACGGTATCTTCCGGCGTTCTTACTCCGGTCATCTCCCCTGCTCTCAAATTCGTCATTTCTAACATCAAATCACTCTTCCTACCTCTGGACATATATCCAACCGCTCCACTTGCTTCCATCAAGAACTGCTTCTTTGGACCGAGAGACACAACCTGATAAAAAACAAACCTCTACCTCTGATTCTTTCACAAGCAAAACCTTTGCAATCTTCTCCGATTAAATGAACCAGATCTATCAATTACAAAGAATGCATACAAAAAGCCTCTAGATTTCACAATTTTTTCCTCCACGCTACAAGATCTTTGTGCTCGGTCTAGTCTTACTCTCCTGTTCTCATCTCCCTCCCAGTCATTCCTCTCACCTGGTTCAACTCCTAGGTCACAAAAACACCCTCCGTTCTTCTCAGGCTCACGACCACGCCCTTTGCCCCATTATAGATTAGTGGCCTCGTATCTACTCCCACTCCCGAGCGACCGCGCACCATGCCCGCATGCCTCCTGACCCACATCCCTCGAATCTCTCGCTCGGGCTCATGCCCTATCCGATCTCGTGCTTCTCACCCATAATTGTGCTCATGGGCTTTCAGACACTCTGTGCCGGGCGCTTCGCACCCACACCCACGTAGTCCAACTCCGACCACACCCTGCGCGTATCCACCCACGCACCGCAGGCCTCACCTCCCACCTTTGCGCCCTTGACCAATTGCACACTTTGCTCTATGTGAAGAAGTCCACTATCCACTCGATTGCCGTGACCTCCCCTCTCCCTTTCTTGATTACAAGAACACCTTCCACCTCCTTCCTTGTGATCGCTTCCATCAGTCTCTGATACCAATTTGTTGAGATTATTGAGGAAGAAAGCTCTTCTTGGATGAGAGGGAGAAGGGAAGAGATGGAGGGAGAGAGCTCACTATTCTTAAAGAGTTTTCTTATTGCTTGTCTTGAAGAGTCCTTAAGCGTATTACAACCTCTCTTTATATAGAAGCTTATTGAGATAAAATGAACCTATGAATCAACTATCTTAAAACTGGATCAATTCCTAATAATATGTTTTTGTATGTTTTTTTTTAAATGTTTATGTACATATTTAAATACAAAAATGCAAGTAAATATGTAGGAAAATAATTTGTCTACAGTATTGTCAATCAAATATCATGGACATTAGATAGGGTACTCTCCAACAGATTAGAAGGATTCATCTCCATCCTGCATGTTTGGTGAAAATAATCATCATTAATCTTGTTATGAAATTTGTCTCAGTTGAGTTAGGTTACTAGCGAGTGAGCTCACCTTAAACTTGTCTCAGTTAACAAAAGGTTTCATTTGAGATGATATTCTTACTACTTCTTAAATAAGTTTTTAGTACGTTTTAAGAAGCATTAAGAAAGCCAACCAAAACAAAACCTAAGTTACTGACGAGTGAGCTCACCTTAATGCAATGCAATGAGAGCTGATGAGAAGGAATGCATTATATGTTAACAAAGAAAAGGAAAAAAAAAAATGAAGAGATCAAAATAAAAATCAAGATTTTGAAAATTGAATTGAGCAAGTCAGCTCAATCCATCATATCATGAACAAGTGTCCTAATTAATTTGATTAGAGAAAAAAATAAGATTGATAAAAAAAAAACTAAGAACAAACCAATTGAAATGATGGTTGAGTCCGTAAGTTACGAATTGTTCACTATTTTTAAGAGCGATTATAATTCATTGTTGAAAGAATAGAAGGAACTAAGGAAAACATATTAAATAAAAAAGTAAAACAAACAATGAATAATCAACTGGGAAGAAACATTATTATTTCTACTTTTCAAATAGTTGAATACATATATATATGGACACAAGGTATCAATACAACAACTTCGGTTTCGTTTGGGACAACTTCATATCACTATTTTTCTCTGCAATTAAGGTTTCGTTTGGGACGGTTTCTTCTTGCTTTCTAAAACAACTTCATAGCACAAAAAATTTTGGAATTTGAAATTTTTGTACTCGAAAATCGTTTTAAAAAGCAGTGTCAAAGTTATCCCAAACGAAGATTAAGAGATTTTTATACTAAAAACAGTTTTACATAACAATAAAAAAACCGTCCCAAACCTTTACATACATACCACTTTATTTCATGCTATTTACATATCTAACTCCCAAAACATTAATATTATATGTATACCACTCATATACAACTTTAATATCAAATATATTACTTCTATAATTCATTTTCTACCATTCATACCATCCTATAAACTTTAATATTTCATTCCATGCACCTAAATTTGTTCTATGGGTGAGAGTCATGTAATATTAATATTTTGAATGTTAGATATGTAAATAGCATAAAAGAAAATGATATGTATGTAAACCCCCCCAACAAAATATTATATATTTCACACAATACCTAATATACTCTCTAAGTTAATTCAAATCGCAGAGGTTAGTGTGCTTGAGTGGTGAATATTGATTTGATTGTTTGAACTGAATGTTTAGAGAAAGATTGCCTGACTCTGTCATTTTTTTTTGGGACATTTAGGCCATTTAAGGCAAACTCACACACACAACGCATACACAAAGACTCGAACCTTGGACCTCTTAGTTAAAAGCCTAAGCTCTCAACCAATAGGCCAAGGAGAGTTGTGCTCTGACTCTGTCATTACCTCCAATGTATAGCTTGTTCCGTAGTATGAGATTTCAGTAGAGAGGAAGAACCTTTGCCAGAACACCAACATATTGGTCTTGAGAGGAAATGCAATGGATGTCTTTTCAAACCCTCCCAATCCTTAGACTAATAGGAAATCTAACTGCTCTGATCGCCTCTCCATCATCCCCCCAAGCTTTCCCCAACTCCTCCACAATCTCCTCCGTCAGAAGTTCCACTCCCTTCTCTCTAGCCGTCTGATACGCCGACCAGGACCTCACATACTCCAAGAAATCCGCCGCCGTCATCTCCCTCTCCGCTGCAAACCCTACCACCGGGCCCGTCCCCTCCTCCCCCTCCACCGGCCTGAAAGGAAACTCCACTCCCATATACCCTTCCTCCACCAACCTCCTTTCATCCGCCCAATACGGTCCCGATTCCGCATAAATCTGACGGTAGATCTCATCCGCCCTCGATCTCCCCCCGCCGATCACCGCCCCCGTGTAACACCACGCCGCCATCACCCCGCCAGGAACCAACATCGATCGAGCGTGCGCGTAGAACGCAGGGAGATCGAGCCAATGCAGAGCCTGCGCGACGGTTATGAGGTCGACGGAGGCGGGAGGGGCGACGATGCGATGGAGATCGGCGAGGGGGAGGGAGGGAGGGGTGAGGATGAAGCGGATGTTAGGGATCTGGGATGGGGTGTGCGAGAGTTGCTCTGGGCTGACGTCGGTGGCCACGACGGAATTGAAGATGGAGGAGAGGGCGGCTGCGGCCTGGCCGGAGCCTGTGCCGACGTCCCAAACTAGGCGGCGACCGGGGCATTTTGAGGCGATATAGCTGAAGAGCTCCGGCGGGTAGCTCGGCCGGGAGGCGGCGTAGTTCTGTGCTTGTTTGCGAAAGAGGTTTGCCATTTCTTCTTGGGTTGATTGACGATTGGTGGTGTTGTTGCAGAGATTATAAAGGAGGGAAGGGAAAGCGCATTTTTAGTTCTCATCGTTGATGTTCTAATTTGTATTTGCCATTGACGAATTAAATGGCAAGCGATTGTCTTCTGGATTGGTTAAGCGGTGCCGGGAAACCTCCCAATTGTCACGAGGGGTTTGTCGAATTTATTTTAGATGAAAATAATATATAAAAAATGAATTAAAAATTTATATTATATTAAAAAAACTTTTTTTGAAGGTATCAATGTATCATAACAAAAATTTGCTTATGATAATTTTTAAAATCATTAGATTTAAAATTTGCTTTAAAATGTGTGCAATATAATTATTTATGTATTATACATATCTCAAATCAAATTAAATGAATTTTAAATATGTTATCACCAAAATTCTTCATAAACAGATTTTTTTAAAATTATATTTATCTTAAAATTAATTTGATTATTTTAAAATTTTTAATTTTCATATAATAATTTTTCTTGAGGACTATTTTCAAAACAATTAATAAAAGTTAAATAATATTCTATCCAGTTCATATAGAGTGAAGGTTTGACACGATTTATAAGCTTGAGGTATATTGGAAAGTGGGAACCTAACAATAATTTGAAGAGATGAATTTTATAATTGTTGCATGCCGGAATATTTGTGGCGATGAAGAGATAAAGGGTTTAGCGTCATAGCTTTATATGAATATTTAACACACAAACAGATAAAAAACGGGGGTTCAAAAGTCAAACACAATATCAAAATTTTTACGTGAAAAATTCTAAAAGGAAAAAAAAATCATTGAGTATAGTGCATTTAGAATAATTATACTAGTGTTTGCAATCAATTACAAATGATGTCCTTCCTCCGAGGAAGGCCTTAGCTCTTTATAGCACATTAGATGGTGGATTTGGAAGAATCCTATGATATAAGAGTTGTTTCCAAATGAATGTTGGCCTGCTTGTTTGGTCGGTAAGATTATAGTCATGTGAAAGAGGCTGTAGGGATCTTAGTCGGACAATTGAGGTATAGTCAGGTGACGGTGGCTCGATGGACCATTGTAAGGTGACAAAAGTCAGAGAGACCGTAGTCAACAAGGAACGTTGGTCGAAGGGATAGTTGTAGGGCGATAAAGGTTAGAGGGTCAGAGAGACTATACTCAACAAGGAATGTTGGTCGGAGGGACCGTAGTCGGTAGGTGATAGAGGTCGGAGGGACCATAGTCGGCGGGCAGTGGAGATTGGATCAAACTTAGTTAGTGGCTGACGGAGATTAGATGGTTCATAATAGGCAGGTGACAAAGGTCAGAGGGACTACAGTCAACAGACGATGGGGGTCAGATGACGGTGGTCAAATGGACTGTAGTCGACGGGCAAAGAATGTCGGAGCGACTGCAGTCGATGGACAAAGGAGGTCGGAGGGACCACAGTCGGTGGGCCATAGAGGTTGGAGGGACCACAGTCAACAAGCAACATAGGTCTGAGGGACTGTTATAGGTAGGCGACGAAGATCAGAGGGATCATTGTCAGCCGGTGAGGGAGGTCTGAGGGACTATTGTCAGTTGACAATGGTGGTCAGAGGGATTGTAGTCAACTAGTGACGATGGTTGGAGGAACAGTAGTCAGCAGGCAATGGTGGTCGAAGAAATTATAATCTACGGGCGATATTAGTCAAATGAATTGTAGTCGGTGGGTAATGTTTGTCGGAGGAATCACAATTGGTAGAAGATGATAATCAGAAAGATCGTAGTCAACGGGTGATGGAGTTCAGAGGAACTGTACTTGGTGGGTGATAGTGGTTAGATGAACTTTAGTAGATAAGCGCCATTAGTTAGAAGGGCTATAGTTGGCAGGGCAATTGAAGTTGGAGGGGCAATAGTCGACGGGTGATATATGTCTAAAGGACCGTAGTTTGATAGCGATGGAGGTTGAAATGATCATAGTTGGCAGGCAATAGAGGTCTGAAAGATTGTACTCACCAGGCGACACTAATCAAAGGGACGATATAGGTCTAAGAGACCATAGTTAGTGGACGACTAAGGTCAGAGAAACTGTAGTCGACGAGGGATAATACTCTACATATTCTTAATATGCTTTAAGCCCATGATTTCAACCCCTCTCAACTCGTATCAGTTAAATTTTGTATTTATTGGGTTCATCTTACTAAGACGTTCAATTTGATTATAAGTTTGCTGAAATTGAAATTCAGATGGTTCCAAATTTAATTTGGAAGGTAACAATTTGAATATACCTCAAAATTCGTACTGGATCAGGATGATTTTTGATGACGTATCAATAATTATTAAATTTATTTTTAAATAATTTTTTTATAAGAGCATATTGATAAATCATATATTACAGTGTTTGAATTAAAATGGTCAACCCAATTTTTCATTGTGAACGTATAGATTTTAGTAGAAATAGAGCCCATTCCAGCTAAATTTGCCACGGAGCAGGCTTTAAAAAAGATGGGCTCAGAATTAGGCCAGTCTAGAACTTGGTCTAAAAGCCCACGGACGGCTGAAAGCCCAGCCAAGCCCGGTCGTTATCGCGGGAGAATTAGGTAGAGCATTCCTTTTCTTTTAAAAGAACATAATCTTAGCAATAGAATTGTGACACACAAATATTAGGACTAAGCAAATAAATATAGATACTGAACTACTTATTATTCATTCAAACAATTAAATAAGGCACAATTATATTTATTTATTTATATAATTGTATAAATTTATTTAAAATTTTAAAATCTCATCATGGAGATGAATACATTTGAATATAGACTCATTTATTAATTTATATTCATGAATATACTAAATTGTCGTTTAACACATAGATAGATAGCTTAGAAATGTACAAAAGGATCATTTAATGATGACTTGATTACTTATGCTTAGGTTGGAATTATTTTTTTTATTGCTTTAATAGTAGGAAAAGTAGTTAGTAAAAAATAAATTTGTTTGCAATATCATTTTTCAAATAATTTTTTTTTATTTTCACCTTTAAAGTTTTTTTTTGAAAAAGTATTTTTGAAATTGAGGCCGAGAAATCAGTTTTAAGAAGTAAAAATAGACAAATTAAAGCTGCTGCAAACAAAGCTTTATGGTATATATGAAATGGTTGTAGCTTTTAAAAATTTGGTTGTAAAGTTGTTGTGGGAAAGTAACTTTTTTGAAAGGTATTGTAAAAATAGCTTAATAACACAGAAATAAATTAAAAATAGTAAAAAAAATAGCAGTCACAAACATAAACTATAATTATGATTTGAAGAGCAAAATTACGAGAAAGTTGTCATCACAAGCAAATCATTAGTTGATGGCTTGATTTATGATATTGTATATATATAGTGACAATAAAAGAATATAACTTTATATCTTAGCTTTATATGAATGTTCAACACATAAATAGATAAATGACAGAACGTGAATAACATGAGTGATTTTTTACTTGAAAAACACGAAAAGGGAAAAACTATGGGGCTTTGCCTATCTTAAATGATTCCACTATATATGTGTGAGGGGAAGGGTGCTCAAGTGGTAAGAGTATTTAAAGTTCATTCTTCACCTAAATAGGGATAAGGGATTCTCCGTCGGGTTAAGTGCTCAAGGAGCATAATAGAATGCAATATCCAAATAGGAGGATCTTTGGATAGTGTATCTAGGTCAATTTAAATCAAACCAATAAAAAAAAAACCTTATTTGCATTTTCTTTACTTTCTTGCATTTAGTTTCATATATTTTGGCTGACTTTGATTTATTTTGTGAAAGAATGTGGGTGATAAATTTCTCTTCGAAATCTTGCTTAAAGTTTAAAATAAGAAAATTGATTTTTCTAAAAAGTTTAAAAAAAAAAATATGTATTTTTTTTGTTTATGTTTTGAAATACTTTATTGTATTAAGCTTATGCATACTACTCTAATTCAACATAAAAGATTTTTAAAATACTAATTCAGCCGCCTCCCCTGGTTTATATTTTGAAATACTTTATTTAATTAAGCTTTTACACATTACTCAAATTCCAAGTTAAAGATTTTTAAAGTACTAATCACCTCTCCCCCCTCTTACTATGTCCTAGGGCAAACCCACACTTTGCCCAAGGTGGGCAATTGCCCACCCTCAAAAAAATTAAATTCGCATTATGATGAGGATAGTTTTGGTAATTTGCCCTTCTACACCTCATATTTTGCCTTTTTGCCCACCCTCAAAAAAATTAAATTCCCTTTATGATGAGGATAATTTGATAATTTGACTCTCTACACCTCATATTTTTCCCTTTTGCCCTAACCAACATGTTCACATTTAGATGCTTGCTTTATGTGCATTATGCAATATGCTTCACATGTTTATATTAATAGTTAAATGTCTAATTTGAAAATTTTCTAAATCAATTACTAGTCCTATTTAATTTGTGGTTAAATAAATTAGAGAAATAAATTGAAATTATTATTAACAATACATTTTCATTGATACTTTATGATCATTTTTAAATCCAATACTATTCATATGTTTAATTTGGCGACACTTAAGATTAATTTGCATTGTTATATACTTATATATGAAGCAAAATCCATCATGATTATATATATTGCTGTTATCTATTTTTGTAAAAAAAACTCTAGGTTAGAAAATAGTATAAATAAAACTCTAAATACAAGCGACGAGTTTTCATCATAAAACAAATTGTGAAGGCCAAAATGAATATTATGTATTCCCTAGTTTATAGACTTATTATTTTGATATTGACTTTACCAGTAGTTATTAATACAGTGGAGAAAATATTTTCTGCAACGAAGATTATTAAGCATCGATTGTGTAACAAAATAGGTGATGATTAACTCAATGATTATCTAGTACCATACAACAAGAAAAGTATATGATTATGTTCTGGATGGAGTTATTATGCAGCATTATAAAAAAATAAAAATTAGAATTCAAAGTTTGTAATTATTTTTAATTCATAAAATATAATGTAATACAAGGCTTTGCTTAAAATTTTAGCATATATTTTTTTTTCAATTTTTGGTATTTTATTTTTTATATAATGAGTTTGTCTGCCCTAAAAATAAGTCTGGATTTGCCCCTAACTATGTCATAAGCACTTTCACATGTTATTACGTACTTTTGGTAATACATAATTCTTTCTTTGTTGATTAATTGAATTAATAAATAAATTCTTATTTATATTTAAAAAGGGAATTTAATATCAATCATAGGTTAGTGATAAAAGTATACTAATTTGATTGTGTTTACTATATAATATTTTTTGTTATTTTAGGAAAATAAAAAAGCCCAGCATAGAAGCTCATCCGAATCCACGAGTGAGGTATTTTGTGTAATAACCCAATTTTTTAACTATCAAGATATTGTCTTGTTTGGCTTAAGGCCTCATAGTTTTGTCATGTTAGAGTAACTTTTCACTAGGCACTAATCCCATGATTTTTTCGACATGAGCACGTTTAACTCAGGAGTTTTTTAATAAAATTTCAATCATTATATCAAAAGATGTTTTAATGTTGAAGAGTTTAATTTTTTTACTTAAGAGGTTTCAGAATCTCCCCCACTTAAGTAACTGATGTCCTCATTAGCATCTTTATCATAGAATCATCCAATAGATAGGAATCTTGAGGTGGTCCCTACAAATTCAAGTTATGACTCTAGCACTTCGTCCCATATAAAGTTCAAGAGGTAGCTCAGCATGGCATAACACTTTATCTTATATCACACTTAGTTCCCATCTTCTACCCGGTGTATTGCCAGGATACTATTTGTAACAGCTTAAACTCTTAATTATCGAGATATTATCCGCTTTGACTTAATGATCTCATAGTTTTGCCTTATTGGTGTAAGTGTGTAACTTTCCAGGATGTTACACAATCTAGGATTTCTTTAATATAAGCACGCTTAAATACAAAAATTTTTAATGAAATTTTGACCATTACACCAAAAGGCGTCTCTATGTTTAAGAGTTTAGATTCTTTTACTTTAGCGGTTTCACATTTTGCAATCTAGTTTTAATTTCTTTTGATGTATATATTTTAATAAACTTGATAATTGTATATAAATTTTAAGAATGAAAATGAAAATATGTTCATATTTGTATTATTACTTTTTATTTGATAGTCAGGTCTTGTTTATTCTTGTTTTTGGTTGATTATAAATATTGTTTAGGCATTCAATGCTTCCATTAAGTCTGAAGGTATCACACAAACATACATGAAGATCATGAGCAAAGCATGTAAACATTCCATTTAACAGGGATGAAAGACTAGAAGAGAACATAAAGGAACAATGACTTCCATCAATCACAAGTGAGACCTTCATCTCTTTTCAACTTAACTACTCTAGATTCCCCTTAGGTTTTGTGAAAAACTCATGGTTAAGATAATTCTAATTCATATATATCCCTAAGGATATCCAAAACTATGGATTCCCACTATGATTCAGTATTTACATTTTGGACGATTTAAACTGGAGTGGTTTGGGCTAGGGGTGTCAATATTTCACAAGACATGAAAACCCAACCAGAACACAACCCGAAAATTTCGGGTTGGACCCGACTCGGTTCCAAAATGGGTCGGGTTGGGGTTCCAGAATTCAACCCGTTTGAAAAAACGGGTCAGGTTCGGGTTGACCCGACGGGTTACCGGGTCAACCCGGAAAATCGTTTAAAATGTATAACCGGCTACCCGCCGCCTGCCCGGCTGCCCGACCTGCCGGCGCCGCCGAAGCTTTCCTGCGTTGCCGCCGCAGTCAGCCGCCCACCCGAGTGCCCTGCTCGACTGCCAAGCGCATCTTGTGGCTGTTGGGTGGCGAGCGCGCGCGAGTCTGTGCCTGCGCTGCAAGCATCCGCCCGTGCATTCTCTAGCGTCCCGCGCGCCCGAGCTCCAGCGCTCCCGGCACCCACCCGAGCACTCGCCGCGCCAGCCAGCCCGTGTCCTTGTCCCGCGACATCCGCTCTCAACCGCGCATGTGTCCTTGCTGGTCTCCTTCCCGGGTCGGGTCGGGTCGGTTCCAGGGTTCGAATTTCCGACCGTTTACACTACCGGGTCGAGGTCCGGGTTCAAATTTCTGACCTGTTTGAACCCGGGTCCAATTCCGGGTTCGAGCCGAACTGGTCCGAAATTGACACCCTAATTTGGCCCATTCCTACCATTGTACTTCTTGCTACAATGAAGTCATAGATGCATAACCTTCCTCCATGTGCATCAAACACATCTTTTAACATCCTAAAAAATCATACAAAACATAATGGAGAGTTCTCAAGCCCTAAGCCTAGCTCAAGGAAGAGGGAGAAGCAACAACTATTTGATTCGTAAAAACATATTATACAAAAACTTTTTAAAACAAATTTTTAATACAAAAACTTGAAGCATATTTTGATACATTTTTAATCAAATATTTTTTTCCAAATTAACTACTTGCCTTCAAAATACACTATTCAACCTATACCACTAGACCGGCGGTATACTTAACCCCGGTCGACGGCAGCCACAAGTTCCCTTCAATGAACTGCGACACCGTAAAATTGGCAGCCTGAGCCGAACTAGTTATAACATGGTAACCCGGCCACTTGACTCGCCCCGCAACTCCCGAACCCGGTCCAAAATTCATATACTCCGCGTAATTCAGCGTGCTCAACGCAAAATCACCATTCCACGGCAACCACCCCTCCGGCCGAATCGAACCGCCAATATACGACTGCAAGATAGCGGTCTGAGAATATTCCTTCCACGGCCGGCCCAGATAAGTCTGGGTGCCGCTACTGTTGCCGCTGGCCGCCAGATCAGCGTCAGCAGTTATGTTACAGAACTGGAGAACAAATCCGGTGTTCTGGTTGGGGTCTTTGCGGCCTTGAGCGGTGACGGTATTTTTTTGGTCGGGGAGAGGAAGGCGGGAGAAAATCTGGCAGTTCTGTAAGACGGCGGCAGCGTTGCCGAAGATGAAGTCGACGGTGCCTGAGATGCGGCAGTCGCGGTAGAATTGGCGGAGAGAGTGGGCGTAGAGGGTGTCTTGGTAGCCGCGGATGCCGCAGCGGTAGAAGACGGAGAGGTCGGAGTCAGATCGGAGAGCTACGGCTTGGTGTTTGGATGGTCCGGCGGTGTTCTCGAACGTTATATCGCGGGCAATGAAGCCTTTTCCGGCGACGGCTGTTGTGCAAGTAAGTGAATGATTAATTTAGTACAATTTTCTTATTAATTTAATTTTTAAATAACCACAATAATTTTATTTAACTATTATTTTTTCATTATTTTTTAAAATTTATATCATATAAAGGCTTTTCATAACTAGAATTATTAATGAGTGATATATTTAATAAATTATTTTAGCTTCGTGATTTTTTTAAAATAATTTTTTAGAACAAAAAATAATAGCTCAAAAAAAAAAAAAAAAAAACTCATTCAAAACTTTAGGTTTTATTTGGTAATCACTTTATACATAATTTTCTAGCACAAAATTTTTATGAAAACACCCAAAAAATAATAGACAGAACCTCCTAAACTAGAAAATTATTGTGTGGTCATTGAACGGTATTCAGAGACCAATGAGAACGTCCCACATCAATATCATAGATGTGTACCGCTCAGTATCAGATGATGTGGCTCGTTCTGATTCGCCTCTGAATCGTTCGGTGACCACACAAAATAATTTCTAGCTAAACCAAGCTTTAATAACAAGGCAAGAATTGCATGTCAAGGTATGAATCATTCAACCAAATTTGGTTAACCAAATAGATCTTAATCTAAAAAAAAATCTATATCGGTAAATAATTAAATCAACTTATAAGTTGCTATCATTAATATTCAAAATAGAAGAAACTTATCTGATCACATAACAACAGAGGAAGGTATCTACATAAAAGAAGAGCTGTACAGCACGTTTAAGAAACACGGTTTACTACCGTGTTCCCGGACAGAAAATGAGATGTCAAAATTTTATGAAAATATTCATATTTTTTCAACAAACTAATTATGTAAAATTTTATATCATATAATCCTCTTAACCAAATTAATTTCTTTCTAAAAAAAAATAAAAACTTTTTTTCATAAAATAAACTTCAACTTTACTTTTTTTTTATTTGCCACAAAATGCAAATTTTTCATAATATCTAGCCAAAAAAATAATAACATATGAGTGCTATATAAGTAGTTTTTTTTTTTTTTAATTGTGTCGTATTAAAAATCAAGTTATCATTTAAATCTAATAAAATATATCATTTTTAATACTTTTTCTTTAAAAAATAATGGCAATAAAATTTATATCAATTTAATAATTCTTTTTTTTTTATTATTTTTTCTTGTGATTACTTCGAACAAAACTGGACAAAGTTGATTAATTTTTACTTGACTACAGGCACTATCTCACCCGCCAAAAATTATTCTGTGCAGTCACCGAACAATACGGAAAAGAATCTGGATGCGCCATATCACCAGGTACACAGTAGTATACAACACCGGTACATAGCTAAAAATTGGCGTGACGCGTCCTAATTAGCCTTCAGGGTGACCCCTCTAGCTCGTTATATATTTATTTCTTTGCTCATTAAAAAATTATTTATTATTTTGATATAAAAATCTAAAAATGGGAAGGCATGCTAAAAATAAAATAATTCACAGAGCACGATACTATTTTTTACTACTTTCGTGGAACAAATGAGTGTGTGGAAGGGCCTAAGTACAACTCAACATGAGAATAAATTCATTAGAAAGTGATTAATGCAAGTCAAAATGTTTTTTATTTTTTAATTTTATTGGATGCCATAGCTTAAAAAATTGCATGAAAGATCCTTCCGTGGTGGGCATCAAATAAATTAATAAAAACAAGTAATGCGAGCTCTGTTTAGCATAAATGCAACGGTGACTCCCCTCTCATGATCTCAATAACATGGCCATTTAATAGGGAGCAGGAATAAAAATTCAATGAGCAGAGTAATTAATGAGTTAATTAAATGCTAATGATATTTATCAGCTTATTAATAATCATTAAATAAAGTATTAATAGGCTAATAAATTTGATATTTAGCTGTGAATACATCAGAGATATTTTGTGAAGTCCCACTTGCAAGTTGCGTATTTGTAAGAATTATTATTAATTAGCTTTAAAAAAATCTATATTAAAAATGCACAAAAATTAATAATATTATTATGAATGATAGCCAAATAAAAGAACATAAATCTGATTAAGAGGCAAATTAACTTCTTGCATAATTTAATTTTATAATAAACTAAAAGGGATGTAATTACCATATTTATGATATGATTAAGTATTGTGTGCGGACGCTAAACGTCATTCGGAGATCAATCATAATTCGCCACGTGACCCTTTCGCTCGTTACCACGGCTTGGTACTGTGGCTCGATATTGCTGACGTGGTACATTCTGGTTGGTCGCCGAAAGACGTTCTGAGTCCGGCCTCCGCATATTATAATTTCTCCTATGATCTAGGCTCAACGAAATGAGAAATTATTTTGTGAAGGCACCAGACGCAGCTATATATCCAGATGACGCGTTACCAATAGGGTAACGATCAGTATCGAGCTTAGGTACAGTAAAAAGGTAACGTGGTGTATTCTGATTGATCTCTGGATGGCGTCTACATCCGCACAATAACTTTTCGAGCGACACATGTACAAAAGTATAAGAACTTGGATATTTTTTTAAATAAAATTTAAATTTAATGATCTAATTTTCATGATATATAAAATAAATAAAGAAATAAGGTTGAGTTCACTGACCGAAAGTAGCAGACCGAAACGTAGTCCAACCATCAACGAAATTCCGGCTGCCGGAAATAACGGTTTCGTTCATTCCGTCACCGACAAGCATCAAATTCCACTTCTTCTTCTTAATCTCCACATTCTCCACATAAACACCCCGCTTCACATAAATCACAAACCGCCGTCCGCTCTCCGCAGGCGCCGCCTGCACCGCTGCATTGACTGTCGTGAAGTTTCCACTGCCATCCTTCGCCACCGTAACATCGACCGCCACCGCGGCCGCCTGCAACAGCCGCCGGTCCGCCACGGCCATCCACTTAGGAAAACCTTCCACCAACCTCCTCCCGCTGCCGCCGCCGGCGGGAAGCTGCCGGATTCCTTGTGATAAAAGAGAGGTAATGGTGTCGAGGCCGGAGGAGGCAAGGGAAGCGAGGACGCTTCCGGTGGAGGAGAGGCTCTCCTTGCACGTGTCTTGGTTTCCAAGCGCGGCGGAGAGCCAGGATCGGAGGTCGACACGGTGGTCGCCGGTTCCGAAGTTGACGGCAGCGGTGGTGGCTGCGCCAGACGAGGAGAGGGACCATGACAGCTCGTCGGAGGAGAAGTCGAGGAGGTCGAGGCAGTCGGAGATGGCGGAGGAGAGGCGGAGGTCTCCGCCGAAGGTGCCTGAGAAGGTGGAGACGATGGTGCTCACCTGCTGGATTTGGTTCAAGGTGGAGTGTAGTATGGAGAGAAAACCGGTGGAGATGCTGTTGGCGGGGGAGGGAGGCGTAGATTTGATCGCTGGCGGCGGCGGCGGATGCCGGGTGGATAAGGAGGAGGTTGGTGGGGCCAAGGAAAGGGATGGAGATAGAAGGAGGAGGAAGAAGAGGAAGTTGATAATGGCGGCCAATACCGATGAAGCCATAGAGGCTTGGGATCGATAAAGAAGAGGAGAGAAGTAAGACGGCGAGGGTTTGGGGCAAATGCTAGTGAGTTAAAAGGACTTTATAAAGAAGTGTCGGCGGCTTAACCATTAGTGCGCTCTTAAGGGATTGAGAGAGACTGAAAGAAGCTGCCGCGTTTTCTGCGATTTTTATTTAGGAGCTGCTTTTCCACCGACCTGTAACGATTGTAGTTGCTTGGAAGCTGAACTTTTTTTGGTTAATCGTAAATAAAATTAGAAAAAAAATATTAATCAGATTATTCTAATATAAATTTTAACATAAATAAATTTTAATTTTTTAGATATGCTTATGCAGGGGCTGATATGACCTTAATTTTCAGGGGGCAAAAAGTGTAGTGATTTTTTTTTGTCTTTGAAGTCAGCTCGGCTCATAGTTGTTCATATCTTTGATCATTTTATGTTTCGTAGATATGTCAGGGGTTCAAAGGGGTTCGACCTGCCCTGTCACATCGCGGGGTCAAGAGGCAGCGTCCCTATGGGGGTTTTCAGGGCAGCGCCCTCGGAATAAATTTTAATTGTTAAAACTTTTTATGGGGGCAATTGCCTACAAATCCATATAATAAAAACTAAAAAGTAGATGTAGTGGGACAAATTACCTAAATAATTATATAATAATTTTTTTTTTTAATTTTTTCAAGTGGGTGCAATTGCCCCACGGTGCATAAGGTGGATCCGCCCTTGTCTTATAGATTAATGTAATAGACAATTTTTATTTAAATAATATTAATTTTAAAATATATCCAATAATTTTTAAATGTATCATAATATAATTTGTATAATGATATAAGTTTTTTAAAAAATATTAGATCTTCAGTCCCGCATTTCTTACGAGATTGGAGCAGTTGAACTTGCTAGTTTAATCGGGTGGTTTTGATTCCATCAGATGCATCTTGAATAATAGGAAATTTTCTTTGAAAAATAGAATATTTTTAATAAAATTATTTTCTTATTTCAATAAATAATTTTAACAAACTAGATTAATTTTTTATTATCAGAATTTCTTACACGATCGTAACCAAATAGAATTCCAATATATTATTTACTTTTTAATTTATCTTTTTTTTTTTCTTTAAGAATCGTGATACATTTTTCAAAAATCTGTATAAAACATGCACTAGTTTAAGGGCTTGTTTGGAACAAGTTGATGGGAAGATTCATTAAAAGTCACTACATAAATTGCCAATTGATATGCCATCAAGAATTTATCTTCATAGGGCACGAATCTTGAGGCAAAAATCAAGTTTAAAACTTCAAAAATTTAATTTGGGATCATATGAACTCCAATTTCAGCAAACTTATAGTCAAATCGAGCGTCTCAGAAACACGAACACAACGACACCAAATTCAACTCAATCCGAGTCCAAATGGGTCCAAATCAAAGACCTAAAGCACTGTTGGAAGGTTCAAACCACAATTTGAGTTAACAAACGGTTTCCAAATATGACGTTATTATAGTTGAATCAAGCGGCTCAACGAGACGAATCTAACGAGCCCAAGAGCACTGAATTTTGACATTATTAAGACCTTCAAATGTCTTACAAATTGTACACGATCAAGGGATTCAACATCGGCCGTCCATTCAAACCACTCCCGATTCGCCCTTGAACGCTCACCTATTTAATTACAGGCCATGCAACTCCAGAAATTTATAAATAGACCCTTTCATTTCTCTTAAGAGAGAGGGGGGAAGTAAGAAGAAGAAGAAGAAAAGAGTAGGAGGGAAGAAACTCCTCGACCACCGCCAGGATTCTGCCCGACTTCCATGAGACGTCGGAATTTCGCCCGACCACCAAGTGACGCCGGAATTCCGCCCAACCTTCAAGTGACACCGGAATTCTGCCCAACCTCCAAGTGACGTCGAAGTTTCACTCGAACTCCAAGTGAGGCCAGAATTTTGTCCAACTTTCAAGCGACGCCAGAGTTTCATCCGAACTCCAAGTGATGCCGGAGTTCTTCTCAGCTGCCAACTAACATGGGACTTCTACCCGATGCCGGACCTCTGCTCGTCGCCAAGTTTCTACCCGACGCCGGACTTCTACCGGTTGTCAGACTTTCGTTGGACATCTATCCGATGTTGGATTTCTTTCCATTGTTTGACTTCTACCTGACGTCGTCCTTCTGACCTTCTTCGTCAGATAATAGTCCTTCCGACTTCTGTCGCCCCCCTACTACGGTCATTCTAACTTACGTCGCCCACCTACTACACTCCCTCCAACCTCCATCACCCGCCGACTTTGGTTCTCCTGACTTACGTCGCCCACCGATTACAGTCCTTCTGACCTCCGTTATGCACCAACTAAGGTCATTCCAACTTACGTCGCCCACCAACTACAATCCTTTAGACCAAACAAAAATATTAGTAGAGACTCTTTGTATTCTCATCATGTAATGTACTATATAAGATGTACATCAAGTTAAGGCCTTCCCCCAAGGAAGGGCCTCATTTGTAATCAACTGCAATACTAGTGGATTCATTCAAATTGGGCTAGGCCCCATGGGTTTTTCCCCCTTTTGGAGTTTTCCACATAAAAATCCTGATGTCTCTCATAAATGCTAGTGAATGATGCACCTTCTCTTTTTATCTGTATGTGAGCTGGATCTTCGTACAAAGTTAAGACGTTAAACTTTATATTTCTCTACCGCCGCGAATACTCTAGGACAACATCACCAATAATTCTCTGGAGGATTCTTTTCTCAATGATTATGCCCGTAGCTTCTTTTTTTGGTTGAAACTCATAGGGGCCTATACATTAATTGAGAAAAAGAAGTTGAAGTCCTTAGAGGATCTAAAACTCTCTACAAAATACAATGTTTGAAAAAAAATATATGCAAGACAAATATCTTATCTATAACATGAGCAAAAGGAAAAACCCAAGATGACAAAAATCAAACCAACAACCTGCAAAGAAAGAAAGTGGCAGCCAAAATAGCCAAAGTAAGGAGGAAACCACAACCTCTCAAAATGGAGGACCTACCAACAATCAACCTGCGCAAAAAACAAACAGACAGAGAAACCAAGGGGTTAGCCGATAGCCCCCAATAGGACTGGAAGCAATCAACAAAATTCCAAAGCAACAAACCAAGCCAAGAAACAAAACCAACAATCAACTAGCATCACAAACCAAACTCCGAAGCACCACCGCAACTCCAGAGAAAAAAAGAAGACCAAATTCACAACATGAAAGAAGAATCCAAATAATTTTTTTTTTTTTTGGATTTTCTCCACCTACGTTTAGCCGCATTATTGTAGAAACCTTCGTTAATGTTACGAATAACATTTAAATAAAAAATTCCATGAGAATCATCCCCATGCACATCAAATTCCTTCGCAACATCCCAATTAGGTGAGGAATCACACTCCGCTATTCAGTTAGGGTAGCTTTCTTCTTCCTTTTAAAGCAGTTTTTTAGTATAAAATTTATTGGACTAGAAATTTCTGTACAAAAAAACAGGTTTACAAAAAAATGCAAGAGCTATCCCAAATGAATTAAGCCTAAGAGTGCATCTAAATAAATACTTCTTTAAGCTAAAAAGCATTGGCAGATTAATAGTATGCATAGTTTAAGGGTACGTTTGAGATTGCTGCGGTTTTTTATAAAAATGATTATACAATTATTATGAAAAAAGTATTTTTTTTTTAGTTTTTGTAGAAAGTAAATTCCAGATACAAAATTTTATTGAAAGTAATTAAAAAGTAGTGACCAAATAAAAATTATGATAAATTATGATCCCATTTCACTAAGGAAGCAGTCACAAACAAAGCCAAAGGCTTCATTTGGGACAGATTTCTTATTACTTCTTAAACAGATTTATAGTACAAAAATTAAAAATTTTGCACCAAAAAAACTGCTTCAAGAAACAATATGAAAACCGTCCCAAACGAAAACTAAATTTTGCAAAATATTTTATTTATATTTTTAAAATATATTTATTCTTATAGTGCCTAATTTTGATCTAAACCTATAAATATGAGGCTATAGGATCAGACCAACATACTCTAAAAAACTCTCGAGTGACTCAAGCAACATTAGTTTGTACTCAAATAAGATCTTTTAAAATTATCATCACATCTCTTCCTAGGTCGCATTTTTCTCTTGTTTTATACTATGTTTGTTTAATATGTGCTAGTAAGATTTAATTATCATATCATCTACGGATATATTTGGATTCAATATTTTTTTTTGTATGTGTTTTTAATTGGATATTTTAAATTTTATGATGTTCATATTTGACTCTCATTCAATTAGTGATCAAAATCTTACATTCATGTTCAATTCAAGTTAGGTTCATCTGACTTGTTCAGCTTGTTTTCACGTCCTAGGCATGGGCGGATCTCCATAGTAGTGAGGGGGGGCAAATGCCCACCCTCAATTTTTTTTTTATAGGGTATTTTTTTGGAATATTTTGGATATTTTGGGCATTTTGCCCCCTCTCGAAAAAAAATTTTGCCCTAATTTTATCAATCATAATCATTTTTGTCCATCCCCTACCAAAATTTTTTTTTTGCCCACCCTAAAAAAAGAAGCTGGATCCGCCCCTGGTCCTAGGTGGATAATTCTATAAAAATAGTAAGGAATCAAATCTATTAGAGCCCTATTAAGCTTATAGATCTAATAGGGTTTTCTCTTTTGTGAATTATTGCACCAAGAGCAAGAAATATCCAAGCTCAACGGATTACAAAAAGATCAATTCTAAAAAATTAATTATTAAAGTTAAAAAAATTAAAAACTTAGAAAAAAATACCTTAGTGCCTTAGGCGAGTTCTCTTGGGTGAGCGTCCTCAGCAAGTTCTGTAGGGCGAATACCTTAGTTAGCTAACTTCGATGATTTCATTTAAGCTAGGGATTCTAACATGATTAATGAAGTAGTTTCTATGGCGTTTATAGATATATATCTTTTGTTGTTTGCATACGAGTACCTCTTAAAGAAGTGAGTCACCTATTCTAGAGCAAGTCTTTTACAAGGATGAGTTCTCAATACTCGAGTAGCTCATTGGGTCAATATATGCTAAGGCAAGCTCCACTCAATAAGAGTACCTCTTCTCCTCTGAGCAAGCTCGGCCAATTATTTT